TTTTTTTGGTAATGTTTATTTGTTCCTTTCTTTGTTCATGAGAAAAATATTCAGTACCTTGTAATTGAATCACTGCTTCCAGCAGGGACACTGAAACCAGTATGCAAACTACAAGCCAAGAATAACATGAGAAATAATTTAATAGTTGTTTTATACTAGTAGACAGGATCCTAATGACTCATTTCTAATGACAAGTTAAATGCAAATTACACAAAATAACAGGATTTATTTTTGAAGTACAGCTATAGAGTAGTCACAAAGGCCTACTGCATGCCAGTCCAAATTTATTTGTGTTCCTTTTTATTCTTTGCACACATTTTATTTTACTCATTTTCCTCTGGACCTGATCTTTAGGTTGAAGACTTGACATCATGTAAGCAGTGCCTGACAGAGAGTTTTATTTCTTCCATGACCATCAGGCCACAATCCTGTGCCTCAGGAATATGAGAGCCACTGTATATACACACTCAGTTCTCAGGATCTCACTTTCCCCAGCATAACTTTTCTTTGATTTATCATGCACATATATAGTAACCAATTTAAGAAATGTATAGAATACTATATAATTATAGTATTTTCAATAATTGTATGTTTATTTAAATAAGTTTTTTTAAAAAACAGAGTTTGCAACTTGTGTGTGTGGTTTTAAATGGATGAAATAAGTTAAAAATGTGTGTGCTGTTCAACTATACAATAAGGATTACTGTTAGGAGTGACTGTATATCACTGAACATAAGAACATGTGACTATGTAGTGGCCATTGATAAGCTAACCAAAGAAAAAGTCATAAAAATTAAGACTATATTTTATTCATGCATTTATCCATTCATTTAATATGTAGTTATTTGATATCTACTATATTTAAAACACTGAGATAATGACTGAGAGCAGCGAATAGGAGAGACATAGTCCTTATTCTTGGTAGGTTTATATTTTAACCAGAGAGATAAACATTAAACACTAAACCAGGTATTATTTAACGTAATTCATGAAAACTACTTTGCAGTAAAGTACAAGGTGCTAAAAGACTAGAAAACAAAGGTGCTAGCTAAAGTATATGGTGAGAGAAAAATTCTTGAGACTCAAGATTTAGTAAAATTAAGGTAAAAGAGTTTGTGGTAATATTCCAGGCTAATAGAATAGCTAAGCGTTAAGACATGAAGGAAGGACAGTGGGACTGTAGAATTAAAGGACATTACAGTTGGAGTTCAGAGTACTTATCATGGCAAACAAGCTTCTGCCTCATCTAATTTTATAAATCTGGCCCCACCTCTGTGTCATAAACATATAGATGGTAAAGTAAGTCATGTAATTTTTGGAATTATCTAGGGATGGTAAAAATAAAACTGGATCAATAACAAAACCTGGAGAAACTCTTAACAATCAATATTTAGGTAGAGAAGTTTAAACCAACAGCAAAGGAGACTAAGAATGAGTGGACCGAGTGGGAGGAAAAATGCTAGAAGTCAGAAAAGAAAGTGACTAGACCTGTCAAATGCTGCTGAGGGGATAAACAAGGTAGAGTCTGACAGATTACTAGCCAAATTGAAGTTTTAGAATTAGGATGGACGCTATGTAAATTAGAAAGGGAAAAGAGCCTAGGGGGCTGGTGAATGTAGAGAAAGTTGAGAGATCAGTGGATCTCAGGTCCCAGTGAGATCTAAGAGTAGTCCCAATAGAAGGGGGCGGCGGCGGGCGGGGAAGGGGGGAACAGTCTTGAAGATAAAAGTGTTGCCTAGGATGAAGACAATAACTTGAGAACAAAATATCAGATGAGAGGGAAAGACACTTAGTAACTTTAGGAGTGGAAAAGATTCTGGTTATGACAGGTTTCAGGTGTGACTCTGGGAGTGAAAGGCTAAGGTGGAGAAATAAAAAGTTCTTTTGTAATAGGGAGATCCGTCCAGTCAAGATATTAAGTGGGCTGTTTATGTAGATGTGAACATCATCCAGGATCATGGGGCAAGAAGGGAAAACAATAATCCAGTCTTTTTATGCAGGATGGATCGATAGATGATATCAACAAGAAGGGCGATTGTGCATAGCTAGTTGACAAGAATGTCAGAGCAGGGATTTTTTGCAAGGAGGTATCAATGCAATAGCACTATGGGAAAATGTATCATTAATCAAAGGGTATCTAGATTGAGGAGGAATAGCAGCTATCCTCATTTGCAGAGATGCTCTCCTCAGTAGAGAATGAAGGTTTGGTCAAGGTAAGAAGTCAGAGACAGTGTTCTGAAAGGAAGTTGAGTATACAGTGCAATTTGTAAACCATGGAGCAAAGTTCTGAAGGCACAGTGGAAGAATTTGGGAGATAGGAAAGAAGAGAGAGGGTTAAGGGGAGAAAGAGAGAGAGAGAGAGAGAGAGAGAGAGAGAGAAAGAGAGAGAGAGTAGGGAGAAGTGTAGCTTAAAGGAGTGCAATTGCAATTGGGCAGTGAAGAACAGAGCATGTGAGAATTTTATTGTAGCAGATAATCAGTACCTGGCCATGGTTTGGAGACTCAGGGAACTGGAGGGAAGGCTGACTAAATAAACAAAGTCAAAAGATTGTGGCAGTTTCAGTAGCTTAAGACACATCTCCCTCTCTTTATATTAAAATCAGGAAATAGGAGCCTATATGTAATAAAGTAAAGAAGAGATTGGAAAATCTGACAGGGCTTGACTAGAGGAGAATCCAGTGTGGGAACAGTCTCCAGTAAAGTGGGTTTCTTAATTATTGAAATGCTAATATGATTATAAAATGTACAATCTATGCTAATATGATTATAAAATGTACAATCTACCAGAGATTTGTACCAAGAAACACCGGGCCTTTGTAATGCTTGACTCATTCTGTTCAAGCGGTCATTTTCTCTCCTTAGTCTTTCATATTGAAAATTTCAGATATAAAAGTTTTATTTAAATTCAGCATTTTTCCTTTGAAGTCTAGGATGTTATAAATAACATATAATATACACAAAGTTCTTAATTTTCTCCTAATGTCTTAATATTATCAATTGAATTCAGTATGGAAAAGTAAGAAGCTGTATTCTTTCTTTAATCTAGATTATTGCTCAGTGCTGAGAAACTATAATTTAATATTCATCTAATAACTTGAAATAATAATATATTTTCCAAATATATTCAAAATATAAAATTACTTAGATACTGGTTGAATCTGTTTGTGGATTGTGGATGAGTCAAGTGTAAATATGTGTAGTGGTTTGTTCCTCGTTAATACCAATATTCAAACTCTGATCTGAGTTGTCCCTGGAGGTGTCACCAGAATCCCATTCTTTGTCATTAGGATGATGTTCCACATCCTGTTTTAATTCTCTGCTTAAATAATTTTAAAAATTGTGTTTAAACAATTTGGAGTCTGAAACTATATCATATTTATATTTGTATTCTCACACTATAACCAGTATCTGAGATAATAAAGATAAATGGTTGTTGAGTGTACCCATTGTCTATTGCCACTCAGTGCTACATATTCACCAGAAAAGTTTAATGGCATAAATCCGAAAACACATTTATTTAGTTCATAAGGCTGTGGGCTTCAGTTGACCTGAGGTAGTTTAAGCCGATGTAGGCTGAGTTTGCCCAAATGTCTGAGGCTATTCTAGCTGTTGGTTGTCTCAGCTCAGATGACTGGGTAACATGAATCTGCTCTCTGTCCTGTTCAACATGCAGCAGGTCAGTCTAGGCATGTGCTCATGGCATAGTGGAAAGACAAGAATGAGCAAAAACCATTATGCAAGCATCTTTCAAGTCTCTGTGTTGCGCATGCCAATATCCTCCTGTTGGTCCAGAAGAAGCCACATAGAAGTCAAAAGTCAGAGTAAGAGGGCATTGTCAAATTACATGAAAAAGAAATAGATATAGAAAGGAATAAAGAATTAGGGGCATCAGGGCAACCAGTCCACCACATTGAATGAATACATGAACCAATGGATCAGAGACTGATATAAAGAGCACTGGACTAAGAGTCAGGAGACATATCCCCAAGGCTCACACCCTTTATTTTGTTAATTTGGATGGATCATTTAATTATGCTGGACCCTAATTTACCCTCATCGCTATTTTCCAAGCTTTAAAACCTTTAATTCAAGCTTTTAATCATGGCTATTAATGAATTTAATACTATACACAATCGATAGGAGGCACATAAGAAAAGTCGTTTATTACCCTATCCTTTGGTGAGTCAAAATAGCTATGTGGATAGCCAAAACTCTATAAGTCTTTGAATATTTTATCATTGCATTCAAACTGAAAAATTTCTAGTCTGAATTTAAGTATAAAGCATAATCTGAAAGTTCAATTTCCTACTGAGGTCTTTAGTTTTCGCTTCTATGTGATGATTCTCTTGAAGCATACAAAATACCAGTACAACATCAAACACTATGATATTTTATATGTGAGATGAGTTTTAGGGTCCTCTGATGTTATGTCTTAATAATTCATTGTTAGGATGAATTATTATTCTTAAATTGACTAGTGGAGCTTTGTCAAATTTGCATAATCCTGATAAAAAATGTGGGTTATTTTTTAGGCAGATGTTATAATTTGTTTTATATAAAGAATGCAAATAATGCAGAAATGAAATCTGTTGTTTATTATACAATATGTAATTACATACTGTATAATGAAATGCTGAATTATTTAACTATGAGAATAAAACTGAGTGAAAATGTTCTAAATGAAAAATATTTTATAAGCTTCACAAGGAGAAAGTAATATACAATAATGGCCTATGAACATAATTTTCTCTGCCTGAGATGACTTCTTATTCTAGTCACTTAGATTGCCTTGAAAATTTCACACCTAGATTATCAAAATATTATTGATGAAAATATAAATTGTAACTCACTTTAACATATAGAATGTTTCGTTTCAGATATAAGGAATAACTTGCCATGCCATGTGATAAATGTTTATCTTTGTAATATCTCTTGGAAGCATTTATTTTGGACTGATAATTTACTTGTGAAATCAATCACTCTGGCCTATGCCATTTCAGAGCCTCCATGTAGACATATCCAAGAAACTTCACTCAACTCAAGCCGACCCGGAGTCAAAAGCACCAGCTGATTGTCAAAATGATTTGGCTGATCTGGAGAAAGAGAGAAGTACGAGTGGGGCGACTGCGGTATCAGGTACCGATGGAACCACAGGTTGGTTAAGCCACCATTGATACTGGTTTTAACTGCCTATGTGATAAATGCACAATATAAAGATTCTTACTCCTATTTTGTTTGGACTATATAACTCAGTCAAAGTGACTGCCTGACTTGCAAATCTCACTGGAATATAGTTTTAAGTGTAGCAATATATTAAACACTCACAATGATAGGTCTGTTCATTGTTTTCATTATTAGATTTTTCTCATTTATGGTTTTCATGGCTGAGGCAGTATTTTATTTTAAGATTGCTTGTATTATCATGACAATGACATTTTAATATTTTTTGCCAGAATTAACAAGAAGGATTAATGGCTTGAGAAATGGTTAACATAATTGAGATGTTTCAATTTAAAGAAGGGTCAGATAAGTAATCTAATGCAGACTTAAATTATGATAGCTTAATTTATAGAGAGGGTGAGCTGATATTTTTCATCTCTACTGAAAGCGAAACAGAAGCAAATGGACTTGTGGAGAAGTTGATAGCATTTGATTAAGCTACTAAGACTAACTTTCATATTGTGGAAATCTGGGATGAGTTAGCAAGGGAAATGAGAATTTTCTTTCTTGGCAATATTTTAGACACACCAAAGCAGCTCAATTTCTAGTACACTTTATCTTTGAAACTTTACATTTCAGTTTGTACGAAACTTGAAACTGTAATTATTCTTAAGCATATGGTTTGTTTCTTTCGCCTCCTTATCTGGTTTTATAGCTACATTCTTTTCTTCCAAGGGCATGTAAAAGTCAAAATACTAGATATAAAGTCTCTGAAGTGTTTCTGCTGAAACTCTGTACAATCTGTGTTCTTTCATGTAGTTAGCCTACTGGCTTCTGACACTCCTATAAAAATATCCTATAGAGCTTTTCCTATTACCTTTTCACTCACTCTCTCTGAGTGATAAAAATGAAATTCTGTAAAGGGCTTTGAAAACCATGCATATTGCAATTCCTCCAAATTTCAAATACTAACCAAGTTTGACTATAAAAGAAACAACTACTGCAGTAAAAATTGCTGCAGCGTGTTAAATCTCAGGCCATTAGTAATTTATTAGAAACTATTTTTTCCTTAAGATTATGGATCCTAAAAAGTACCAGGTAACACAATTCCTGAGATCGAAGTTTTTGTTTCAATCACAGGAAAACTTGTTATCGGCCCTAGCACATGGCAGTCCCACCTTTGTATCCTTTGAATAGTGCAGAGCATGTTATAGCCCAGGCCAGCACCTGCTTTGAACATACTGCCTGTCAGTGATGGTTTGAGGAAAAGGAGGTCCTGGAATTAAAGTAGAGGTTCCAGGCTGATCAAGATTTTTTAACTTTATTCAAGAGAGTAAAATGAAATCTTACTTAGGTTAAGGTAATTTCAGCATGCATTTATTTAGAAATTATGTATATGCTCATCTGAGCAATATTTTCATTTGTTTTCCCTTTTGTAATTACTACAAATTACAGAATCTGTCTTCATTATGAATTAGAGTTATATGGCAGTTACACATGTAGAAACACAAAAGTTAAGTAAAGCAGAAATATAGTTTCAAACTTCCTTTACCTCATTTAATGTAGTATATGTTTCCTTATTTTGAAAAAAAAAAAAAAAAAAAGACTCATTGGATCTTTACTGAACATTTGCCAGACTTGGAATGAACTGGTCATCTCTGAATGTTCAGTCACCACCTTGGAGTTCAGGATGGGGAAATATAACCTTTTTTGAGCTTTCCCGTCTTTTTAATAATTAGACATAAGTCAGTCATTTACTAAATTATCTTTGGGTGAGAGTGGCAGTTTTAGAGTCTTTGTGGCATATTACAAACAAAAAGACAGGGGTACTGCTTCTCTAGTTTTGCTGGTTCTGGACACCCAGATGTTATTCTTTCAGTTAGATAAAGTGGAATTACACTAAAGAGAATTATTTATTTTGGAATTAAATGTAAACAACCAGAAGTTTAGCTGGGATCACTTAACGCACATCGTGTGATGAGAGTTTACTCTATTGCAGCCAGGAGTATAGTAAACTATACCTCAGGATCAGTGCCGTCAGCCCCAGCTCCTCTTCACTAAAGCACTGATGAAAATGCTTCACCGAATTTCATGGATTACCATCTTCCGTGGGTCCTTGATTCACTAAGGTTGCTTGGCAATGCCCATGTTTTATTTTAGAAACATCGTTATTAAGTCCGCAGGTTGTTTTGTTCAAATATTACTAAAAGAACATTTCTCTGAAAGTAAGATGATTAAATGGTTAACCTTTGGAGTCTGAACTCCAACTGCTGGGTTTAAATCTTGTCTCTCCCACTCTCTAGCTGTGTACCATGAGCAATTTGTTAACGTCTCTATGTCTTTATTTGTAAAATTGGGTTAATAAGAGAGCTACACCATGGGGTCTTTTGAAGACTACATTAGATAAAATAGGTTAAAGTTAGCATAATACATAATAAACTCCAATTGAATCATAGCTATTCTAATTAACTTCAGCATCTTTATGAGTTGATTGCTAAGGAAAAATTTGCTTCCTAAGAGGATGTTCTGCAGTGCCGGCTGTGACCACCTGACGTAGCTCTCACAGTCTCTGAGTTTCTGCTTGTCCTTTTTTTCTTTTGAGAACTGTATCCTCTTGTGAATTTCATGGCCTCTATGAATTCTATGGACATGGGAGATAATTAGAAATCTTATGGAGTTGAGTCACTGACTCCTCTGAGTCTCAGAAATAGTGTAATTGTGCAGAGACAAGAAAGCCCTGAGCCTCTTTAACGAACCCCTTCCCCAACTTGCCTCAGCAGCAGAAGCTCAGGAAGAGCACAGAGCTTCATTGTTTAATCAGGGTAAATTTGCGTGTGGAAAGTACACTAAGAAGCCCTCTCAGGAACAGCACATAAAGCAGAAGAACAAAAGCAGGTCTGGGCAGAGGGAAAAGTTAAATGATAGTGAAGTCATAATAAAGACCTCAGCTGATCCTACAGGGCAGTCTGGAGCTGGCCTGGCTCTTCGGAGTTGTCCTATATTGCAGTGGGGAGGCCAGGCCTTTATAGCCTCTACATCAGTTATTCATTGGATACAGATGCCCCTGAGAAAGGGGCATGGTTGTGGGCAAGGTGGCTTCTTTCAGCCAAGAGCAAAGTCATTTATCAGAGAATTATCATTTAGTTGTGAGGAGTATGGAATTATTATGTAGGTCACTCATTAATTGCAGAACCCAGATGCAATCCAGAACCATTGCTTCTGGTGATCTGACTGGGTAAACAGGAGGCTATTTCCTTTTCCTTTGTTGTTGTTTTTTTTTTTTTCCTTACGTGTTTCTCTAGAAACTGTAATCATTGCTGGAAGGATAATCTTTTAAAATATGCCTGTTTGGTTTTGCCCTACATAAATGTTCGCTACTGAACAAATTTTATACTCTCCTAATCAACAGTCTCTAATGGAATTTCCTTTCTTTGGAAGCTTTGACTATGTTCTTCTAATTATTCCTACATCTTTAGACTAAACCCACGCTGTGACTCATCCTCTATAAATTAGGCTTGTCAAATAATGAGAAGAACCTTAAGCAAGAAAATAAAATTCAGATCCCCTAAGGTCTAGTCCCAGCTCTTCACAATCTAGATGTGCAGACTTTCACAAGTTATTTCATTTTTATACTTTCCTCACCAAAATAAGAAGTGTATCAGTTAATCTTTATGTCTTGTCAATTCTGAAAGTATGTGATTCTCTGACCTATTCTGATATCATAGAGTGATGTAACTGTGGCTCATCTCTAAGTAAGACTCACATAGAAATGATTTCCCAAACCTAGGAACCTAGTTTTTGTGGTAAGTTAAACAGATTAGAGGAAACAAACTCCACGGAAAATCTTTTCACTGAAGTGAAGGTAAAAGCTAGAAATAAAGAATGGATCAGTTGGAAAATAAAGAAGTCTTTACATTGAGCTTTAAATTAATCTCAGTGTTAAACTTCAGATTTTACTTGTATGATAGGGAATAAGACATAAAGCAGTTCCTTATCAGGACTATTTTGTGAATTAGACAAAGCAGGGGTTCTATTATTAAAGATCTTGACTGAATGACTGAATATATGCTATCAAGAGGTAGGTACTTTAGATATTGTAAAATATATTCTTGTCTCTCAATTTTAATAAAGGAACACTTCAGCAATTCAGTCTTATTCTAAGCAGTGTGTAATTCTAAGCACAATAATTACTTTTACTCCGACGACCAGAAAACCTGTTATTTAAAATATTGGATAATTTCAAATTGATAATCCAAAACTCTGGTATATCTTTTATCCTTCTAATTAACGTCAGTTCAGATTTTTCATAATATAAACAAAATAATCACACTAGTAGAATTTCCCTTTCATTTCCAGGGAATACTATCTCCATTTGGAACTGCTGACAGCCTGACGTAAAATGTCATAAGATTGCTCTTCATTTTATAGCAACCTATATCCCTCTTCTCAGAATGTTTAAATGTTTAAGAATATGCTGAACGTAGAACCCGCAGTCATTTCATTCTTTCAACAATTCTGAAATATCGATTCCTGTTCAGCAGCTGTGTGAGTACTGACTCTTTTGCCCCTCTTCTTCTCTAGAGATTAATTTATTTCCTGCAGTGCTTGATCTTCACGGAAAATCCGACTCCTCAGCCTTCACTCATGGGAGTTCTCATCAGAAAAATGTTAATTATAAAAGCAAAATCATGTACCATTGAAAAGGAAAGACAGTTCTCTAGACAAAGCAATATTTTTCTTTTCATTTTTTTTCTTTTCTTCTTTCCTTTCTTTCTCTTCTTTTCCCTTCTCTTCTCTTCTTTTCTTCTTTTCTTTTTTCTCACATTATTCTCTTTTCACTTCATTCTCTCCTCACCTGTGGCTGGACAGGAACATTAACCACTGGGGAATCAGTCTGTGAGATGGTGGGGTATAGAGGAAAATGTGCAGGCTCTGCAACCAGAAATATCTGCCTCACATGAAATTGTGCAATGAGACTGGTACAGAGTAAAAAA